GGGCAGGGTCATGGGGCAGGGGCGGGGCTAGGGACATTCGGAGGGCAGGGCTATGGGGCAGGGGCGGGGCTAGGGACACCTGGAGGGTGGGGCTAAGGGGCAGGGGCGGGGCTAGGCATGCCTGGAGGGCAGGGTCATGGGGCAGGGGCAGGGCTAGGGACATTCAGAGGGCAGGGCTATGGGGCAGGGGCGGGGCTATGGGGCCCACGGGGTGACCCAGCCGGCCGCCCCTCACCTTGCATCTTGGCGGCGGCGATGACGTCCCCCGCGGACATGCTGGAGACGTTCACCAGGTAGACGGGGCAGTGGGTCTGCGGGCAGCGCGTCAGTGCCGGCCCCACGGCCCCCCGCCCAGCCCCACGGGGCCCCGGCGTCCGGGCGCCACTCACCCTGTTGGCGATGGTGATGACGCGGTGCGTGGCCTCGGCTTCCAGCTGCGGGGAGAGCGGCCGTGAGCGGGGCAAGGACGGGGCGCCCGGGCAGGGTGCGGGTGTGCAGGGTGTGCAGCGATGCATGCACGGGTGTGCAGAGGAGTGTGCAAGTGAGCATGCAGGCGGCTGCAGAACAGTGCAGGGAGGGGTGTGCAGGGGGTATGCGGACGGGTGTGCGAAGGATGCACAGGTGGGTGCACAAATGGTTGCACGAGCAGTTGCAAACAGGTGCAGGAATGAAAGTGCCCACAGGTGTGCAAATGGGCACGCGGATGCAGACAAGGGCACAGTTAAGTGTGCAGTTGGATGCACAATTGGGTTCAGGCTTGGGTACAGACGGGTGCACAGATGGGTGTGCAAATGGGTGCAAGGGTACTTGCAGACGGGTGTGCAGGTGGGTGCACATGTGGCTGCACGGAGAGCTGCAGAGGGAGCATGCATGGGTGAGCACATGGTTGTGCAAAGGGGTGCACATAGGGCTGCAGACAGGTGCATGGATGGGCATGCAAGTAGATGCACAAATAGGTGCCAGGAGAGGTGCAGAAGGGTGCAAGGATGATTGTGCAAGTGGGTGCACAAATGGGTGCAAGGATGGGTACAGATGGGCACAGAGATGAGTGTGCAAGTGGATGCCAAAACAGGAGCAAGAGTGGGTGCAGATGGGTGCATGGATGGGTGTGCAAGTGGGTGCAGRAATGGGTGCATGGTCAGTTGCAAATGTGTGCATGGATGAATGTGCAGGTGGGTTCAGGGCTGGTTGCCGACAAGTGCTTGAGTGTGCATGTAAGTGGCTGCACAAACAGGTGCCAGGACGGCTGCAGGAGGGTGCATGGATGGTTGTGCAAGTGGGTGCACAAATGGGTGCAAGGATAGCTCCAGATGGGTGCACAGATAGGTATGCAAGTGGGTGCACAAATGGGTGCAAGGAT